ATTCAATACAGAAACGTTTATTTTCTTACGCTGTTGGTTAACAGATACATATGAAATGATCAATTTTATGATCAATATACGCTACATTTAGATTTGGAAATGAACGTTCAAGTCCTCACAAGTTACACAGTATTTAAAATTCCATGCTTATCAAATGTTAACACCTGATCATAGCAATTGAATTCGCTAGACAACACCACAAAAGAAAAACTAGAAATGTGTCCATAGGACACGGGTGCCCCCACCACGCGCGCCACTGTTCTGTCGATCTTATAACTCTAGGTCAAATATTTTTTGAAAACTAAAAATCTTTTACTAAGTAAAGGGCAAGAACTTTACAAATACTGATAGTGAATAAATCCACAAGCAAACCCCAAGGTGCATAAGTACACATGCTGACCAACATTCTTGTAAACTTTCAGGCCTACAAGTGAAATACTTTTTTAGCTATGCATGAACAAGTTGAAAATTGCAAATTTATACTACTGTAAGTCAACAAAACTGAAAAAAAATCCATATGCAAAGTCCCATGTGCATAGCTTCACAGTGATGTGAATCATTATTCCTGTAATTTAGTGATGTTGATCATTATTCCTGTAAAGTTGGTTGATTCTAACTCAAGCACACAAGGAACAAATAACAACATAATAACATTAGTAAGTCAAGGGAAATAACTCTACAAATACTTGATAAATCCACAAGCAAAACCCCAGGTGCACAACTACATATGCTGAGCAACCTTCCCGTAAGGTTTAATGACTCTATGTAAAATCCTTTTTGAGTTACATGCGACAAAAGTTGAAAATTGCAAAAAATTTCTTAGTCAAGGGCAATAACTCTAAAAATACTATATAAATCCAGACAAAAATACCCAGGTGTACAACTACACATGCTGATCAACATTCCTGTTAAGTTCCATGACTCTAGGTCAAATACTTTTTGAGTTGCATGCGACAAAAGTTGAAAAATGCAAAATTTTACTAAGTCAAGGGAAATAACTCTGAAAATACTAAATAAATCCAGACGAAAATACCCAGGTGCACAACTTCACATGCTGATCAACAGTCCTGTAAAGTTTCATGACTCTAGGTCAAATACTTTTTGAGTTCCATGAGACACAAGTTGAAAATTGCAAAATTTTACTAAGTCAAGGGCGATAACTCTAAAAATACTAAATAAATTCAGATGAAAATACACAGGTGCACAACTTCACATGATGATCAACAATCCTGGAAAGTTTCATGACTCTAGATCAAATACTTTTGAGTTCCATGCGATACAAGTTGAAAATTGCAAATTTTTACTTAGTCAAGGGCAATAACTCTGAAAATACTGAATAAATCCACACGAAAATACCCAGGTGCACAACTGCACATGCTGATCAAGATTTCTGTTAAGTTTCATGACTCTAAGTCAAATACTTTTTGAGTTACGTGCGACACAAAAGAGAACGGACGGAAGGACGGATGGACAGGGGTAAATCTAAATGCCCGCCACTAAAGTGGGGGCACAAAAACACAAAATTGTCCTCCAAATTGTAAAGTTTTATGTTTCCTTTTAAAACTACATAGTTGAAGGAAATAATAGAGACATTATTTCAGTCAAAGAACCAAAATATGGTTTGTTTTTATAGAGATATAAAACTTAACACATAAATATATCATATTAAAAAAAGAACATTAAAGTTATCAATTATACATCACGTTTTAGAAAGAACGTTAAAAAATTCTTGCTTGAAGGTCTGGTCCATCAAAAGAACTATAAGACCAAATATTAGCAATGGGATTGAGTGTACAATTAGCCCAGTATGTCACACTTTCTGTATATGTCATTGAAATCTGGTGTAAACGGCCAATTACTACAGTAGTCATTCTTGTTTTGAAGCACATTGCATTCGAATAATTTAACATTGAAAGTTTATCATTAGGACAACAGAATATTAACAAATATTCGAACTCTCGGTCAACTACTGTCTAAGGCCTAAATCCTATGTACAATTATTTCATGCATTATACGGAAATGGTGCACTGTAGTCCTTAATTGTAGATATCCATTAGTGATTTAATAGTAACTCTTTCCTTTAGTATATCAGCATCAGTTGTTTCCCATGCATAAAACAGTATTGTCTTCTGAGGAAGAAACATTAGAAAGCCATTGTCTGAAAATCTTCCTTTAATTCCACGAGCCTCCAACCAAACAAACGGGGCGACAGCATCAGTCCTTAGTTGTAATTCAAACACGTTGTCGTCCTCTGTTGTCTTAATTAGTTCCACCTAAAATGGAGGAAAATATTAAAATATCATTATACATATTATATATTTAATAGATGCAAAAGATGCATCTACAGATATTTACACATTTGATATACAATGTATCTAATAGATTAATGTGTATCTTAATGATTCTTACATTTTTGATATATGTAATAGATATTGTATTTTAAAGATTCGTACATATTTAATATAATTATATGCAATAGAAATATAACGTGTATTTTAAAGATTCAAACACATTCGCTACATCTAATAGATATATAGCATGTATTTTAAAGATTCTTACATATTTGATATATCTTATAGATATATAAAGTGTATTTTAAAGGTTTTACATATTTGATATATCCAATAGAATAGATATATAACGTATATTTTAAAGATTCTTACATATATGATATATGTAAAATATATATAACGTTCATCTTAAAGATTCTTATACATTCGATATATCAAATTGATATATGAGATGCAACTTAAAGATTTGTATACATTCGATATGCATGAATCTTAAAGATATCAATACAGAGGTCCTACCAGCTAAGAATACAAATACGTTCCATTGCTTATTGCAGCTATAATTATTAAGACTATTTAGTGACGTATATATTGTGTCAAGATCTATGTAACTGTGATCTCTAACACTTGTGACAAACTATCTTTATACATTATATCTTCTTACAAGTACACTTTTATTGTACCTTTAAGTCCGGTTCTCTTAAACCTATTGCGTCCTTAAATGTTGTTAATGGATACCATGTCGAATGTCCATTATTAATGTCACCAATGTATAGTACAACAAAACAATTTCCTGGCGCCCCACAACCTGACTTTAGTACGAGATTTTGTACGGAAATTTTATAAATAAGTTCCGAAGGTTTAAAAAGCTGGAATAAAAATAATACTTCATTAGGTAGCGAATAATATGCTCATATTAAGTTCATAATTCGTACATGAACATACGATTTCAATGAAGTTCATACTCAAAATGGAAAAATTATGCTAACAAATATCAAGAAGGGAAGCAAATCCACTGAACGCAGACACAACAATGACCTAAAGCAACGAAACTAAAAACGGTATCAAACGAGCAAGGGCAGTTAAACAATGCGGAGGACGGCCAAATATTAATTCAAAGCGAGTCTATATTTGATTATAAGCGAAAAAATTATTTTTGGAGAATATCTTATGTGACCAATTGGTATTAAAACTGCCTGCAAGTATACTACCTAATTAACATTTTAACTATAAATAAATAATAAAACAAATATAAAGCCGAGCCGACATATTAAAAATTTACATGAAATGATGTACACAAATGAAAAGAGAAATATGAGAATCACCTTGAATTCCAGTTGTTCTGTATATTTTGTATCCAAACTATCCCAGGAGTACACACGCATATACACAGTTCCTGAAAATAACGACAGTACCTCGTTCCTTTCTTCTAATTTGTCCTTCAGTATATCTAAAAGGGATTGCTTCTTCCAGCTGCATTGAAATAGACATAATAAAACATAACTGACACATGAGCATGCCTTAAAAATAGCATTGGTTTCATTTTCGTTCATGTTTGCAGATTAAAAAACAACTATATCTATAGTTTGAGGGCCTTTGTTGTTTTACTCAGAGTAAAGTATTTAATCCAGAATATAATACAATTTTAAGATTAACTTTGTTTCCTGTCACTCATATTACAATTAAAATAACACAAAATATGCACTTTGTGATCTTTGTCATCAAATTAATTAAATAAATAAATAAAATAAAGTCACTTTCCAATACTTCGTAAATCAATGAAATAACTTAATACGAAGATAATAGATAACAATAATCTCTTAAAGACATTTTCTACAGTTTTATGAAAAATTAATCCTTTCATAGAATTTTCTAAATTTTTTGTATGATGAGTAAAATTTAATGACGTATTTAAAAATAAAAAGAAAAATATATGTTGACGTGTTGGATTTCTTGTAAAATGGCAGTTTCCATGGTAACCGTATATCTAAAAACTGTCGAAATAGCCTAACTGTGTTATAACGAATAGAAAGTGTATAAGATAGCTTAAAACACACAACGAGCATTGTTTTAGGCAAAGATAACCTTATCTTATGATTCTGTATGAAACAAATGATAATCTGAACATATTTCTTTAAAAAATGAGTTTTCCATGTTCCTCAACTGAACAAAAAATGAGAAAAATAAACATGAATTCGGAGAATAATTAGAGATATTGAAAAAAGTGTTTCATAGGATTTTCTAATTTTTTTGTATGTTGTGTAAAATTTAATGACAAATTCAAAAAGAAAAAGAAAAATATATGTTGGCGTGTTGGATTTTTTGAAAAATGGCAGTTTCCATGGTAACCGTATATCTCAAAATTGTCAAAATAGCCAAACTGTGTTATAACAATGTATAAAATAGCTTATTACACTCACAATAAACATAATTTTATACAAAGCTTGCTTTATCTTAGGGTTCTGTATAAAACAAACGATAATTGGAACATATTTCTTTAAAAAATGAGTTTTCATGCTTTTTAACTAAACAAAAAATGAGAAAAATAAACATGAATTCTGTAAAAAATTAAAGCTATCAAGAAATTTCTTTTATAGAATTTTCTACATTATTGATATATTAAGTAACATTTGATGGTGGATTCAAAAATAGAAATAAAATATATATGTTGACGTGTTAGTTTTTTTGTAAACGGGCAGTTTCCATGGTTACCGCATATGCCAACTGTCAAAATTACCACGCTTTCTTAAGAAATATCAGTGTTATACTAAATGTATTGTCAAATATACAACAAAAACATGTTATAAGAAAAATTTCTTTTTCTTTTGATGTAATATTAAGTAAATGATACTGAATATCTTTTTAAAACATATCTAGGGCCATATTATTTTTTTCACTCGACTAACATACCCGAACAGTAAGCAAGTATTCAGAAATTTGCAAAGAAAATAATGAAATTCGGAACATTTCTTAGATATTAATTTTTTTTATGCAACACTTTTAAAATATATCATTTTAAACTTCTTTGCCCAGTTGTCTGCCAGTAATCAAGTCGCGACGCACTTTCGTCACTATTCAACAAGTGGGTGGGGTTACGCGCGCAGAATTATCATCAATGCTGTCTTACTAATGCTTGGAGAAATCCTTTATGCGATGTTGTCTAAATGACCTCATATTCTTTTGAACCGATCTCCTTTTGAACATTTAGAAATATCTATTCTGTATTATTTACTCATTATTTGCTTATAGCCGAAATTTAAACACTTATCCGAATACTATTCAACTTTGAAGAGTAATTAGGGGGCAGGGGACCTAAGAATGGAAAAAAATTGTATTTCAGTGTGACCAGAAACACAATTCCAAATATTTCAAAATCTGTTTCACAGGCAGATAACCAGTTGCACAGCATTATTCAATGATACATGACATACATTGAAGAAAATAATAGTTTGCATGCATTGCTCCTTCAAAAAAAAGACTGACAGCAATTTACATTTACCCCCACCCAGCCAAAATCACACCTAAAATATACCAATATAGGCAATCTTCATGAAGGTGCAACATACTCCAGAATCCGCCCGATTCCTTTAAAAATATCAGTAACACGCAGTGCAAGCTATGGCATTTTCAGAAATTACCAATAAAGTGTCTGTCATACGTTTAGATTTTTCACAAAATTTATCTGAAATTTCTTACATGTTTGGCGCCAACTGTCAAAGCTTGATTTTTAACTCTTTCACCTCCATTCGGAGAGTCAGAAATACATACAAAGCTACCAAAATGCTTAGTTTCGGGTAAAAACCCAAAAATACTTCTCATTTCCTACACACAAACAAGAAAGAATTACAATGACAGAGAAATATCAGAAGTTATCAGTACCTTCAAAACACCATGTCTGAGTTATTAAAAATTTGACCGGGGCCATCATTCGAATATGTCCCCTGCCCCCTTATCCGTGATTATCTTTCTTGGAAGCGCATAACGATGCACACAGAAAACTACCGAAAACGTCTTTAAATGAGTTAAATGAGATAAAAAGTTAGAAATTATATGTTTGCGTCTGGCATAATGCTTCAATTTATAATGTATTGGTATTGCAAATTTTAAAAAATCCACTTTCTCCACGTTACTTTCTTTTTAAAGTTTGTTTACTGGAAAACAATATAATTATATATGTTAGGTCCATAGGTACCTTGGAAAGAGGGTATTACCCAACATTGCTGGTAACTCATGCCTATTGTCGAGATTAGGAAAGTTGTTACCATCTTGAAGTTTTGTCCGCTGAAATTCTGACAGTTCATCAACGACAATGTACACTTGTAAATGATCTGTGCTTTCATGGTTGCTTATAAATGGAGAAATTAAAACTGGCGAGAAAAAATGGATTGCATAATAGTGCAACATCTTCCATTTACCTCCATATTCTGAAAAAAGAGACAAAAGTTACTGTTATTAGATTTATAAACTATCCTTTGAATATTATATTACATCTCATAGTTACTTTATTTTCACGACACAGATAACAAACAAAACAATGAGTTTGTTTTATGTAATGAGTGAATATGACAAATAAGACTTTCTCATATACATAAACGCTCGTATTGATCTCAGACCATCTTTGAACAACAACAGTGAATTTTAAAATAACGTAAGTTTTGAAAAAATATTAATAAAATCCGTAAAATTTTACATAAATTATTCTTGAGGTTCTAGACGTATTGTGAAACACGTTGGTTAATAATCAGGTTAGTTTAATTTCCATAAATTCCTACCGATAGACGACCAAGAGGGCGCCTGCCAGATATCTGCAAACATCCAATATAAAGCCCCCATCGTCTTTCCTTCGCCGTACTCATTAATTTCACTCTGCCACCGTCTATAGTGTTCCGTTTCTGTTCTCATGGCAATCGCTTGTACTATCTATATACATGTAATATACTCAAATTAAAATAAATATAATGTTTTATGTAAACAGCTTACGTATTTGCTTTTTACTTTTTGGCTTCAAAACACTACAAAATTAAATTGGTAACTTTTAGCTCAATGTTTCATTTCAAATGCTAGTTTTACACGTATATATACTCATAATCTCTATATATATTCGCCATTTAAGTTAATGAAAACATTATTTATTATATACTTATAAATGAAATATTGAGAAATATTGATGAAATAAAATGCATATTTTCATTTTTCTTATTTTCACTGTAAAAATTATTTTTTCACTGCAGTGAAACATACTTTTCCGTATTTTCAATGGTGTTTTGCCGGACTACTTTCTTTTAAATTCTGCCATTACACAAAATTTAAGGGAAAGTCTTTTAAATTTAATGTCAAAAAAGAGAAAAATGTATATAATAAACAGAAAATTCAAGTTTTTTCTATAAATACATGATTTATTTTCATCTTGTGGCATGAAAATTACCATATTTCACTCGTGGCTACCGCCACTCATGAAATATTTATTTTCATACCACTCGATGAAAATAAATCATGTATTTATAGAAAAAACTTGAATATCCTCTATATGTTTCACAGTAGCTGGAGTCTGATTCTGATATAGAGACAATCATCTGGTTAATTGTTGCGTTTATTCGACGATCACGTGAGGGCCCAATGTTCTCCCCGTAAAGGGTCAAAAAACATCACAATGAAAAAAATAAATTTCCTGGGGTACAATATATGATATCCCCAAAACCTTTAAATTGGGGGGAAACATTAAAAAGTTGGGGGGTTTTAAATATAGTAAAAATATTAATTTTTCCCATTTAAATTGTTTTCCCTAAAATAAGTCAAAAAAAACTTTTAAAAAAAAATAAAAATAAATTATAAAATATAAATTGGGGGTAAATTTATTTCTATAGACTTAGCGTTGCATACAATTTTTGCAATTGAGAGAACTGTATTGAAGTACTTAATCTATCCAAAATCAAAAAAAGGCTTTTTTAGATAAAATTAAAAAACTATATTAACGTTATTTTATGGTCGCTTTCTCTAACAATTCAATATATATTTTTACGTAAAAAGATATAGAGGATATTTGTTTGTTTGTGTGTAAGATGAAATTTTATTTCATCGAGTGGGCTTTAAAAACAGTATTCTCACGAGTGGCGTAGCCACGAGTGAGAATACTGTTTTTAAAGTTCACGAGATGAAATAAAATTACATCTTACACAACAAACAGACAAATTTTCTTTTTTATTTTATGCTTTAAAACAAGTTAAAACGAAAATTTCCATAATTTTTAACGTTAATATTAAAATCTGTTTTCCCCATTGAGAGCCCCATTCAGAGGGAATTTCTCATTAAAAACAAGAAGTCTTGAGCTGAGAAATAAGTCCGCCAATCAAGGTTAAATGACGGTGATATTTATTCATTTTATTAAAAAAAATATGAATGATCGCTTGTTTTAATAATAAAAACAAACAATTCTTGTAGGAGAAAAAGTCCAACCATCCATCCATATTTCTGTTACTTACTGCGAATTTATATTAGACCTGGCTTTGTAAAATGTAAGCGGCAGCCATTTTTTAAAGTTGTGTATTTCATTGGAGGAAAATAATTATGTAAGATTCAGAAGGATATAATTTGGATTTGTTAGTCATACACCTTTTTAAAAGAAAGAAAACTTATTTGAGGATTGTAACAGACAAAAAATAAGTGTTGACAGAAGTGAAAACATTCAGAAAAGGAGCTAGGAAAATGGAAAACTTGGAAGCTTGCTAAGGCATTGTAAGGAACGCTGGGTTATTTTACTTATTTTACGAGTGATGGCTGTCAATGCTTTTCAATTTTTCATAAAGCATACGGCAGTTATTGCTCGTAGGATACTTTAATATGCCCAAATGTCATCAAAAGCAGTTTAGCATGGGGAAGGAATGTATTTTTCAGACTGTAAAAACGAAACAAAAAAATTTTGAGACGAAATTTTGTGATTGGAATTTGAAGGAATAGAAGTAAGTTTTCTCTCTTTATTACTTTTGACATTTAAGTTATTTATCTATTTCAGCTTTGCTATTTTTTTAACAGCCTGATATTGTCAGAATTGTCAGTAAAAATAAAATTGAGGAACCACATGGGGAAAATCTTAAAAAAGTAGTTTTGTCATTGAAAAAAGTGAAATTATATTTTGATAATTTTCACTGTGAAATTATCAAATATAATTTTCACGGATAAATCAGTAATCCACTGAAAAGCATAAAATAAAATATTTTAACCCTAAAATTTCTGATATTATTTTATTATATATAATCATCTATTATCATCTGTCAAGAGTTACATACTTAAGATATTGTATAAAGTTCATCATCTTCATTTATAAAATTACAAATACAGGAATACAAATACATGTACTATGATCACTTTATAGGAATGATAAAATAATTTGCATACAAAACATATATGTCAGCCACTTTGATGCTATATATAAAAGATTAAAAAGCAGAGGCGCGTTAACTGTGTTACACGTCAATTATTTAATAGGATGTACGAAATATTGCCATTATTTATATGTGTGGCTGTAACAATTAGTCATTTGTTCGGCAAGCGCTTAGTATAACTAAATCAATCAAAAAATGATAAAAGAAACGAGCTTCTTAATTGAAAGCTTACAATTTCTAGGACAAACATTTCCCCTTTTTGGGTTATTAACTTTAAAGTAAAATACTCCCAAATTTATACAAACCCCCTGCAGGGATGCTGCCTTAGCCCTTTTTGGGGTTCTGCTCGTAAAAGAAAATTTTTGTCTGTCAAAATTAACTGGAGTAAAAAATTCCCTAAAATTTGGGGAAATAAATTCCATCCCAATTCGGGGGCCCCTTTCCCGGGGTTATTTTGTACGTAAAGTCCTCAAAAAATTTCGCCGGGATAAATGAAAATAATGAACGGGTAAAATAAATAATCATTTAAACACACAACTTTTAAACTAGTTTGCCATAAAAAAGAAAGTAATGAAAAAGGGTGAACCCGTCAAATCCCCGGCCCAAACGTTTTTAAAATTTTTTCCCGGGGCCCTCTTTTTCCCCAAAAGGGAAGCTTAATAAAAAATCACAAAAATTACCTTTTGGGAAAACCAAACATAAATTTTTGGAAAACCAAAACCGGGAAAAGAGAAAGAGTATAATTATGATGATCAACCTTTGGTCACATATAATCAATATAATTAAGGGCAACAAATATTTCAATATACAAAATAGACTAAATACAAAATGTGTGTTTGAGAAAGTTAGCCGTCGTTTAAAATGTAATTAAATTTCAAATGTTCAGCTTAAAAAATAACAATGAATGATCTATTTTAGATCTCATATATTATTATTCTGCATACTTACTGTCACCATATCGCGTATTTCCAGGATTTGAAGAAAGGCCACCTTCCATTGCAGAGGCAATACCATTACTAGGGCTTGACGTCATGTAAGGTCTGGTCGGATCCGTTTCTTTTACAATGGTTAGAATTGTGTCGACATAAAGTTTCACATAGTCGGACATTAAGATCTTGTTTCTGAATACACCTGGCCACCTAGAATAATTAACACATAAAATGATTCACTTGTTTCCTTTCTGCGATATGGCGGGGATAAACGAAAATATTTCATTGTTAGATATAATGTTTTTTGTTTGTTTATGTTGGGTTTTTGGGGGGTGCACCATAACATACTCAGGGTCTGTGATCACATGACATTTGTTTATTGTAACATTGGGTCACCCCCATCGTGCTACCCTGACGCAAGAAAATTTACGTTATGAATTATGGTGTCTGTCTAATGTACAAGGGTTGCAATATGAAATGCATTATGGTCAATAACTTTAACAAAGGAGGAAATATTTTACAATTTTCTATTTCAACCCTTTGAAATATCTCCTTAATTTGTCAATTTGACAAAGCATTGCTGACAGAAAATTTCTGGTGGCCCAAAATGTGATTTGTAAAGATTTAACAGCGTGTTCCTTGAAAACGTTAGAATAATTAATTTGTTGTACAATAGACAGATAAAAACGATTAGACGCTGACAAAGGTAACGTTTCACAAAATCTGTCATGATAAATATCTAGCTTCAAAAGTCTCCAATTTTAAGGGAACAAGTTAAGTTTTACACAGATCAACACTCTTTGTTTTTAAAAGATTACAAGCATGTATTAAGTGGAGATCTGTGTTAAATATAATAAATTGAGAATATAAAACATATAAATGCTTTAGTTTTTACCAGCTCCCTGCAATGGCCGCTTCATTCTCATTATTGCCACTGTAAGCAAATACCGATGGATGATTCTTAAGTCGTCTTACCTTTAGAAACAATATGCAATGTGACAATAAAAACAACAAATACGTAACATAATAATGGCTTTCTTTTCCAAAGATTTTGTTACTAGTATCAATGTGTTTCTTTACTGTAACAAAAAAGATAGTAGTGCAAGGTGGGAACAAATAATTTATAAATGACTCATTTTGAGATTGTAAAATTTTATTAATGACTCTAAATGTACAGTTTGTTTAAACCTTAATAAAATTCAATAATTTCATAATTGATTGATACATATTTAAGCTATATATTTACAGTTTGCACGATGATCAATAGTTACACAATATATTTTGAGATTTTTCTAATTAATTTAATTGCTAACTTGAGTATATTTAACCGACCCTCAGAGAGAAATCAACTTAATTCTACCTGGTACGTCACTTCTTCTTTCACTGATGATAGAAAATCTTCATCTACCGGGTATAAAGCACATGCAAACATAAAATCCTGCCATATTAAAATACCAAATTCATCCGCAAGGTCGTAAAAGTAGTCCGATTCATAAATCTGAAATTGTATCGGAGGAATGGTCTGAAAATGTGTACGCATGCTATTGGTCGAGACCTCCATCAAATGATAAAAATATTTCAAGTACCTTCGCGTAAAAAACCTCAGTGGAGTCCCTTCAACAAAAATGAAATCTAACTGAATAAAAAGTCTTTGAAAATGCAAAAGTTTTATAAAAATAAAGTAATTTAAAAAAAAAATCATTATTCATCAAAATAAAATTTGTAATATGAAATGGTAATAGTTGTATTAGACTTAACAAATTTAATGAAACAAAAAAGATGTAGTCTTTGCGTTGATAAATTGAATTGTCACTATAACTTACACCACCACCCCATACTCGCAAACAGTTCATATTTGCATCAACCGCTGATTGTAAATAGTTCCGCAGTCTGTCTTTTGTTACTCGCTCTGGAAAACTATCTGCTGGTACCCAATTAGAACCTTTTAAGAATATCGGATGATTGTTGATGCGAAAGTAGAAAGAAAGTCCTGAAGAAAAAAAGACATATCTGCATGCATACAACAGTCAAGAGACTAGTCTGAATTTCACTGTTTTTGTTTTTTGTTGTTTTATTTTTGTTGTTGCTGTTGCTTTTTTAAATTTCTGTGTCCATGTTTGAATAATATATTAAAAGTCAACCTTCATAACAACATATCTACATATTTTATCTCCACTTTTAGAAGAAATAAATTGACCTATTTTATGGTTGGCGTTGGTTAACTTTTTAGTTAAGGTCCATTTTCTCAGAAACTATTAAAGTTATTTATTTCAGACTTGGTATACATGTCAATTATCATAAAACGTGCAGATACTCCAAAAATTATTTTTTTGCAAAGTAATAATCGAAGCAAAAAGTGGCGTTGGCGTATACATTAGAAATTCGTACTTTGCATTTATTTTGCAAGTACTTTTCCGAAATAAATGTAACGCAATATAACAAGAAATATGTATTCTCCACTATGGAAACATACTCGTACTGTCTCCTTATGTCCACCAAGGAACTCAATTAGTTATTCGCGGGAATCCCCAACTAACAACCAGAAGGTAGTTGGTTATTCACAATTCCTGCCAAATTTCCAGTATTTCTTTTCATGTTTGGAAACAAATTACATTTTGCACTTTTTCAAAAATTTCATCAAACTAGGAGTTTTACAAGTTTTCACATGTATAATTTCATTTTAATTTCATCAAAAATTTTTGGGTGGGTAAACTTTTTTTTCCTTTTCATATTTTTGATAACCCGGGATTTAAAAAAAATAAAAAAAATAGACTTTTTAAAAATTTTTTAAAAAAACAGTAAAATCTTTCCCGTGAGGTGATACTTTGGGTTTTTGTATGGCCTTTAACAGTTTCCCGGGAAAGCAAAAACGTATCGTCCTTTTGGGTTTTTTTAAACAAAAAATGCCCAAATTTTATTTTTCCCAAAGTAAATATTAAATTTTTATAAAATCCCCGTGGTTTCCCTACCCCTTTTGGGCCAAACCCTGCCATAACTCCCGTTTTCTTAAATTTAAGCAAATAACTGAATATACAAGTCTGAAATTTGACTTATGAACAAGCTTTGCGATTTTCAATAATTTGTATCCGTTTTTTTTTGTTACTTTCGAATTAGATTACATCTTATGTCTTACATATATGTTTAATTAATTACCAGACCATTGCATCAGACTAATTAAACATAAGTTCAAAAGCAATATGAAATGGCAAAATGAGTTTCAAAATATGATGATACCTTTGGAATATCATAGATTTCCGACAGTGTTTGTAAACCTTTGTTTAATTTCACATCTCTTGTCACTTCAACATCAGTGCCTTGAATTGCTATTTCTAAAAGCCCATTTTCAGCAATCTTGTCACTAGACCTTGTAAATATATCCATATGCAATTTCCACGTATCATTGACTGAAATATAAAACCAAAGTGATTATATTTCAAAAGTATTCAAGAAGTAACAGGGGATGCTATGATTACAGATAGATATTATATACCTAAAATATCATTTTTCCGTTTCCACTTTATCACTTTGTGTGTTGTCATTAATATTGTAGATCTAACTAAAAGCGAATTTAGATGTTCGTTTAATTGCCAATTGTTCTGGATTTCAAACCGCACAATACATAATCCGCTAGAGATTTGATAGTGAGCGAACAAATCTTATTTTAGCGAGTACTAGCACCATGTCAGCACTATCTCATTCAAAACTGTGTCTCTTACTTCTTTAAGAAGTATGTTCATATATAACATACCTTTAGAAGTTTCTGTTGTGACATCAGTGATTATCATTCCATCTGTGGCTTGAATATATATATCTTTCCTGTGAAATATTAAACCAATATATTAGATCTATAGGTAATCAAAAAATATATAGGTAAAATAAGTACTATTATAAAAATTTTATTACAATTAGAAATGTAGAAATGATACTTAGTTTCAACAGCAATCGCCTAGCAAATATATCCATGTCACGACAAGTTTTATGCATGGTGTGTTATCTTTATATATTTGCTGGAGATGGCTTGGAGTGAAAAAGCCACGTGCAAATTTCGTAGAGATAGATTCATTTAAAAGAATCCATCAGCATTTAAGTGTCCGACTTACTTCTTACATTCTACTAAGGAAATACCGATAGTTTCCGATTACACTCACCATATTCCCATAGTAACAAAGGCTGGTCCCCAATCCCAGCTAAAAGCACACTGCATTTTCCTAACCATATTTCTATGACATTCACCATGAAAATAATAAGGCGGGCAGTCTGGTGGAACCTTGTACTCTGACGCATTGGCTTTCTCTTCTCCATACTGCACAGGTGATTTAAAGTCAACAGCGATAACATTTGTGTCCTGAAATAAGCGTTATAATCGTCATAAAGTATTTGGCAAAATGTTTTGAATAATTACGAATATAATTCACGAAAAGGGGAAAACTAAAAAATTAAAATCAAAAAGGGGAAAACAAGGTTTAAGATTCTTTTTTCTAAAAATTTTTTATGAAAAACCAATGTAAAAATTGAAAAAAATTTTCAATCAAGGTTTAAACACTTAAAATGGGGAAAAATCTGCAAAAGAAATGAAAAAAATATACTTAGAAATTTTAAGGGTTTAAAAAAGGATTTTCCGGGTTTTGTAATTTTTTTAGCCGAATTTTTTTTGAAAAGTTTTTCAAAAAAATTTTCCCTTTTGGGGGTTTTCTTGCACAAAGAAAAATAATTTTTCCCCGAAAAAAGGGGTTTCAAGCCAAAGACCTCAAATGGGGGGCCCCTTTTAAAGTATCACCAAATTTTGGGGATCGTTTTTCCTTAAACCTGATTATTTTTAAAAATTTGTGGCATATCCCCTTTTAAACTTTATCAACCATCAAATATTCTGGGTTTTTTGACAATGTTCAAAGTTATCTAACTTGCACGAGATTTTGTTGAAAAATGTGAATAAGGTCGTTTTCGTTAATAAAACAATATACAATAATTAACATCTTCTCTTCTCCGTTTTAGAAAAAGATGATTAATTAAACAACAGTCAAAATGAATAAGCAAGCAAGGGCGCGTATGCTTCAGATATGATATTTGTTATTATCACTCAACTTTTTATGCTTTCTTTTACTTCTTTTCATTTGGTGGTGAATTTTAAATTTCGTCTTTTAAATCATGATATAGACCTTTGCTTTTTTAAAAATTTATATCTTATTAAAATATTTCGCTATTTACGGGGGAAAATGTCAAACATCTAACCTTAACAACTGACTTGATATCAAAGATATATCTAACAAACATGTTGTCAGACTTTCCAACCACCCTGTCGTTGATGGTCACTGTTGCTATTGAATCAAGTCCTTCACAAATCAAAAGAATCTTGTCCATCTTTAAAACTTCTTTCGAAACTGATGAAATATGAAATGAAAATTAACAATGGTAGGTGTACATGATGTGGGCTGTTCCCTGAAATTATTTGTTCGAGTGCCATTGCGATTCGACAAATGCTTTCAAATTGCATTTTCTGACGTTAATGTGTAAAAGTCTTCCTCCACCATTTAAGCTGGAAAGTCGCCATAAGATCTATACTGTGTTCATGCCATATAAAACCCGTTAAAAGTACATTGCTTCGATTACTGATGCAGACAAATGACAAATAACCACTATGGATCGAGGCGGAAAATTTGATTTCATGGAATATTACTTGAGTACAGCTGTTACTTCCAAAATAAATATATGAGAGAGCAAACGCACAACACGTCGTCTAAGTCCACGTTTGGCTTCAAAAAAGGCGTGTGATCGGGACAATAACCGCTATAACCCCCGAATAAATCTTTAGTGCAAGTGAAAAATTACTTTCTTACTATCTTGCCATGCTTCATAGAATTAAGATTTTCTAACAACATACAAAATGCAATTAATTTTGTTAAATTGGATTTTACCTTTAAATGTTCTGATATACTGCCAATCTCCTCTTCCAACCCATGAATAAGATATGTCATTCTTCCTGAAATAAGGGTTCCCGAGTATCCCTGCTCCCATAAGAGCTGTGTGAACGCCTCCGGGAACGTCCGAAGTTATCCCATCTGCGAAAGATAGATAATTTCAGAATTATGTATTAATGTGCAACAAAGGAATTGCGGGCTCTAGCCAGGTTAACGTTATATTTCAAAATTACCAATTCACTTCTCTAGCTGCTTATATTACTGACGTTAGACACACCTACCTGACGCCAGTAATATTATTACTCTAAGAAGTCAGACACGCAGGATGTGACAAGTATAAAGTATTTCAAAAACTGCTAGGAAACGCCGTTCAGCTAGGTATTCAAAATCATGAATAAAATCGTGAAATAGACTCCTTCATTAACAGCAAAGCTAATGTGTCTTCTTTTAAGAAATATATTCCGAGAAGTAGGAAAAGTATGGAGATACGAGGCTATCTGAGATGAAGGAGGGTCCAATAAGATTTTTTTGATGTTTTTCTCTTTCGTATCGTAGGCAAAAATAAAAAAAAACCTTCCGTGTAAAAAAAAAATGTACAAGCATTTTACTATGTTTTATTTTATCATTATACCTTTCCCTTTACCCCCCCCCCCCAACACACACAAATGTAGCCCCTATCTACAGTCTTCAATCGACAGACTGTGCGAAAATACTAATAACCTAACAGCGCTGTGCATTTATGAGTATGCGATTTAACTCTGGCACATTTTCAACAGATTTCGAGAATTTTATATAAAAATAGTATTTCAATTTTATAAGTTTTGAGTCATCCGTCAAGGACAAAAATGACACCCGTGGGCAAACGAATATGGAATTTTCTATTTCGCGCGAAGATGGCCCCGAAATCGGTCGACAGCCAATCAACAACTGAAGCAAGTACGATTCCTACAGAAAGGTCACGCGATCGTATCCGATTCCCATCGAAGGTTACGCGATGGAATCCGGTCCACACGCGAAGTCACCTCAAAGATGCAAACTTTTACCAAATAGTTTACCCGTAGGACACGCGAAGGTCATGCGATAGGAACATGGCGTCGTATTGTTAGTACGGTGGTTCGAACGTGATCACGAAGGCGTCACGTGACCTCCGGTTGGTATAAAACATTCGGCCAACCGTAGCATATTTCAAAATTTAAAATTACTAACATTCTTCCGGAGGACTCGCCATTATGGGCAACCGGTGACGAGTATAAGTAAACTCAATTACACAAAAGGCAAATTTCAGTTGCTGATAGTATTGGAGCACAAGTACGTACGTTTAAACTTTATTTTAAATTTGATTGAACTTTATCATGCCATCCAAGCGGGGCCTGTAAGTGTTGCTCATCGTGGTTTCTAAGGTGTATCAAAAGTAACACTGCTCCTTCCTTCTTTTACTTGGTTGACTCATAAAGTATACCACTTTGCATGAAATGTATTGTCAATTGCAAACAAGTAAAATGGTTTCCTGCGGTGAACATTTTAATGATATAAAGATATTTCATTTAACTATTTTCAACATTATTTGGGGGGGGGGGGCATAAATAAACGTTTGTATCAGGAATATAGTTGACAATTGAATATCAATATAGAAGAAGGTCTTTGGAAACGACCGGAGAAGGTCGAACATAAAACAATTATTTCTTTTTAAGAAAATGATTAAATAGGCCTACCATTTTATGAATAATTCCGAGCAAAAATAAATAAAGTAAACACACACGTTTACGCAGAAAATATCTCTATTTGTTATGGTAGATGCCCCTACGAATATTTTAATTTTGTAAATTTTCAGTATAAATAATTTATTGTTTGTAAAATTTAAGATAGATATTAAAGAAACATTGATAATTTTCAAACACATCATTCAAGTTTTTCCACCTTAAACGGTAAAATAATGATAGAAAATTAGAAATATCACGTTCTTAATAAGTTGTAATTCGGACTAATTCCCTACAGGTAAATCCGTAACGTACCGGCAAACGGTATTTAGCTAGGTTTTCGAAAAGGTCAATTAACCAATCATGTTCGGTTTACAGATCACATGCTCCTCCATGTACCGAAAACAGGTCACGTGCTCCTCCATGCCTCAAAAGTTAAACGCGTACCAATACCCTGCGGTCTGGAGACCGCAGGGAATAATGGAACTTTCTGAAGTCTCTATAGAGATGTGCAGGACCAGAAGATGGTTTTAAGACTAGCCTTTTACTGACAAAACGAAAATATTAAAGCGCCGTATATCGTGTATCTTGAAAATGACCTAAGAGATAAAAGAGAAAGTATGGTGACCCCCACTGTTTCATCAATTTTTTTCAATTATGATTCTCTTTTATATCATGTTAATTATAAAAGTAACCCTGCATTTGATCTTTGCTGTTGTAAAATATACTGAACTTTACATGTAGGGGATTGCTACCTTTAAATTAACAAGAGTCATTGATTATCAAACCTTTCCGTTATTACTTTAGCACTCGTGGTCTTTTACCGGAAGAAAAATAAACACAAAAAAGACAAAACACAAAACAAAAGGAATAAAGTTTCCTTTTAAAAGGAAAGGCTTGCACAGTTGTGCCTTCATCCCAACCCTTTAAAATTGTTTTTTTTTTTTGGTTTCAATTTATTATCACAATTTTTTTGAATTACGGTATTTGTATATCATAAAGTTGTTTTTTTTTGTTTTTTTTTGGTTTTTTTTGAAAAACGAATATTTTTTGTCAAAACGATTTGAAATTGTATAAAACTAATACTGAACGGAAACAAGTGTGCACATTTCATTTCCCCTTTTTCGAAGAGAAATCATTCGTTTGCTTTATAGACAAATACTTCGTTAAGTGGTACCAATTAATAAGCATGTATCAACTATGTTACACGATCACAAATACGATGCGCTATCTGTAGATCAGCACGTGGCAATGCAAAGTTAATGATATGCATGGGCTATTTTTAGATTACCTCACCATTGAATTGCGTTCAGTAGTTCTAAATATAACTCGATCATGCGTGATTTGGTAAGCAGGACCACCCTTTGAAGACGGAATTAATTACAGTCACCATTCTCTATTGTATAAAACTAATACAGACAAAAAACAATTATAAAAGAAACTAACTTTTGCGTCTTGAAAACAATTGAAACGGAACAATTTCGTTTATAATTTATTACGGTTTAAACCGATAAATCAAGTAAAAATAGAAATCCTATTTATATCAACAAACTGGGATTACCGAAGTAACTAAAATAGCTTAGATTTCCGTAATATTACTTCGTCTGATTCTGCAGTATGACGGAATCGCCCGAATTGTCACGATTGCAATCGGAACTACATCGGCTATTATCATTAATCCGAAGAGTGACGGAAAAGGCCGAAAAGTTGCGATTGGCACGATTGCAGCAGGTTTCACAGGAAACCACCTTACCGGAACAAGTTATTCAAAACAAATGGCTTGCAGCCGTGGCTGCAAGCCAAAAAGTGAAACAACAACAACAACAACAATAAAACAAACACACAAAATTAAATATGTATGTATATTTGAACATTAGTGTATTTCGTTTAGACAAAACTAAAAAAAATGTAGGTCTGAAATAAAGAGGTCATTATACATTGTTGAATACAATACTAATTCTTTTTAGACCCGTACACAGCATTAATTAGGATCGGAAAGGGTCGCGTCTTATAAACTGGTGTGCCAGCACTGTATACTCAGTATGGCAATCAAAAATGCTCCATACAGCTATATATAATCCTGTAAGATCTTAATGCAAGCTAATTACTTTGTCTTATGTAACATACTTTTTCATACATTGTTGTGTACAACTTAAAAACTTATACATGTATTGGACTCAGTTTTGAAGTCGGCATTGTATAAAGACCTCATTCTTTGTAACATTAATGAACTGAATCTAAATGGGCTAGAATTGTTCTGATTAAAGTTGACAAATAAAGCGCTTAAAATTTTAATTCAAATAGAATAGACTCTGCATGGAATTGAATTGTAAATAATGTGTGTTGTCAATTTAATATTCACTGTTTTATAAATTTCGGTCAAAACAAACCACATTGATGAAGTAAGTGCATTTTTTGTGAAGTGCGTTACTTAGTCATAATTAGACAGGTAATTGCGTTTTGTGAAGTTATATTGTTGCTATCATACTGTTATACAATATCAATCATTCACTGCTGCTGGTTACTACTATATCTTATATTAGTGCCAAAATGTCATGATCTGTTTCAATGCCAGACGTTTTTTTAATTATAATTCAAACATAGTGTTACAATTCAGGATTTATTTTACCTTATTGCAAATTATTTAGGAACAATTGTTTCTGTTTTTTTCCCATGAGTTTGAATATAACATAGTAGTAGAACATTTAGAAATACTTTGTGTTGAAGGCATAATAAAACTATATTACTTAGCTTATTCAAAAACAGACATAAAATTATCAAGTTAGAACAACGTAAACCTTTTTTTGTAGTTTTATGAGATGATAAGTAAAAATCTATTATCATAGTGAACATTTTTTCATGGTTTATTAACTTTGCCTGACTTTTACATTAAAAGACATGGGGGAGATTAGAGCAAATATTCCGTTTCATAAAACAAAAATAAAGATTTGTTAATTTTTCTTACTGTGTTGAAAGAGAGAGTGGTACTTTAAAGATGAAATAGTTTTTGTCATATTCACATATTTTCTTAGCTTGTAATTGTTTTTTTTTATTTCAAGATAGATATTAAATTAATGAAATTTAAAAGTAAGATGGATATTTTACAATACGAACACAAATATAAATATTGTATGTAGTCGAGTAATGTAAGTCACATAGGTACTTTTAAGTACGTGTACATAAATTTAATTACAAGCTGAAAGCAAAATAAAGATTTTGTTTTAAAGCAATTACCCAATTTATATTTTAATGATGTATGGGAAGCAGAGAAACATTGTCGACCTTGAATGCCACCAGACAAATTTCCATCACAATTCATTTGAGCCGAAAACGGGTACGCTGTTCAAAAACATTTAATTAACCTAATTGTTGAGAGCGTTGTTAAATTTTAAAAACTTTTATCTTACTTCCATCAAAATGCATTTCATTGCACTTAAATC